GTACGATTTTACGACGATTTAATAAATAAATAATAAATATATTACGACGATTATACGACGTTTTTTTATAAATAAAATTAAAAAAAAATTATTTAATCTAAATTAAAATGTAATTAAAAAAAATAAATTTAAATTTTAAATTTTAATTAAAATTCAATATAAAAAAATTTATAATAATTACAAAAAAAACCTAAAGATCTAAACCTAAACTAATGTCGTTGATCTCCTCATCGTCCTGCTCTGGATCCCCATCCTGCTCCACATGTTCCTATAATTTATAGCATTTGTATATTCGTTCATTATTACTATTCAAATTCAAATCTTGGAATTATTTTCAAAGATCTTTCACTTTCCTCATCTTTTATTATATAACAACGTAACTCCATTAAACGAACATAAGTTTTGAATTTCTAATTGATGTGCACATGTATTATTACAGCTCTCTCTTTGACTAATAAATCTAGACTATTTCACAAATTCTTAATATGTGTTTTCATATGTTTCAGATGATGAATCAAGATCACATTTGTTGAATATGAATGGAATTTCTTGGTAAAGCTCATCATCAATCTTTCATCGTCGCACAAGAAGTTCATCAGTAAGATGATGCTACTAAGGAAGGTATTGTTATGTTCCTAAAGTTGCAACTTTCCGAAACTAAAATTTTTTTGTTCTTTTCCCTTCGAGTTCTGGCTAATATTCTCAACTGGGTTGATGTCTTTTCCATATCTAGACAAATTATTTTCAAAAAAAATAAAGGTGTTCTCTTAGTTTTGATTGACAATATCAATGGGGAAATCTCTTTGAATTTTCTCACTCGCTTAAACTTTTTTTCTTTATGCATTTGTTCAATAGCAATGATTTGTATTTTTTTTTTAGAATATTTACAGAAATTTATATGATTGTTTAAGGACCAGCAGCATCTAAAAGCTAACCAGTAGTAATAATATCACCTGAAAAGACATGTTAGAATCTTCAGGTATGGCTCTGTTTCACTAAAATTAATATTGAGTCTTATAGTTTTGTGAAATGACATTAGTATTATATGATTCTTAGTTCTTTAACTTTGGACCGGAATGATATATGAACTGGTTTCTTGGAATGGATCTGAATTTAAAACATAAATATCTTATTTACTGACACATTTCTAATATATATATATATATATATCCTGTTATTTAACGAGAAACATGTATTGATATTTTTATTTTAACATCACTCTAACTTATGTGTTTCCGAATTTGCTACCTACTTAATCCAACATCTATCGGAAAATATGGACTTGGTGGCAAAGGCGATGAATACAGAGAAGCAAAAACAAAGAGATGGAAATCCCAATCCTTATGAGAATCGAAAAAGGCTGCTTCTCTTGATAATAACTATGGCTGTTGTTTCTTCACTCTGAGTAATTGAGGGGTTAAAGCTCAAGACGCTGCTGAGAAAATAGCCGTTTATTTGTTTTTTTTTTGTATTTTTTGTCTTAAAGTTTCCTTTGTTTATTTATGGTCTCAATATTTTGATTAAAAACAAATATTATGGTCTCAATATGACTTCCACATTCGGATTGTATTTTTTTTTTTTTGTTACAAAAATTTGAATTGTATTTTGTTGCTTCGATCGTATGAGGATTTGATTTGTTTTGTTTCTAAGAGTTTTCTTCCTTAAACACACATCAACATATTTATTCTTATAGTTACAACAGTGGTGAATTGCTTTAATCTATAGTTTATATACTTACATATTCGTTGATACATCGAAAAATTTAAAGGTATGTTGCTTATTTCGTTAGCCAAGCTGTCATACATAGGAATAGAATAATAATTGACCAGGTTCTCTATTTTTTTATGTATAAAACATTCTGTCATAATTTTAGAGCTATCTGATAAAAAGTTTAAATTTTTTCAATCAGGGAATGAATAAATAATATATTTAGAAGTTAACAAAAAAAACTGAGGTAAAAGTAGCACGATTATTAGATCTGTTAAATATTTCAAAAACTAGGAAATTGTAAAGCATATTTGCATCTTTTGTGGTTAAAAATCTGAAAAATAAGAAAACTAAATCAAATTTAAATCTTTTAAACGGGAGATAAAAATCTGTCAGTAACAATATCTTTTAAAATATTTGACGTTAATTACGTTTATAATAGCGACTATCCTCAAAATATTTAATAATTATTTCTAAGTCCATTAGAAATAAATCAAGTTTTTGTGACAAAATGACAAATACCAAGTTTTATGCGCCTAGCCACCTTTACAAGGCCTAAGAAAGTTTTTGAATTATGGAAATACTTTATTTTTTTTTATTATTTTGTATCAAATTTTGGGTTTTATATATTGATCTTAACTGAAGATTATATCGTTTAGTATTTGAAATCCTTTGATGAATGTGCAAATACCAGTGGACTAATATATGCATTTGTATGCACTTGAAAAAAAAAATTAGTACATATGGTAAATTTGATTATTCATATTCAAAAACACAATTTTATCTAAACTATTTAGATTGTCTAAATGAGATTGCTTAAAATGTGTTATTTTACGTATACAATATAATCTTAAGATGATAAATAATTCTATATATATATATATAAATTTATTCTCATTCGAGATTCTCATTCTTATATGTATTAAAAATGAGACATTTTCATTGTAAAACTGTTTGACTTCTTTTGTCTTATAACTAAACCTAATATACATCGTGGAGTTTAATTAAATTATTTTTATACTAATTCTAATGGTGTACTAATTCTAATACCGTTTCAAATATAGCTAAAATATCAAGCTATTCGGAAGCCAAAAAAGTCAAATAAGTAATTTATTTTTAAAGACGGTAATTAGGTCTAGCTAATACTTTTGTATTCGTAATTTGAATGTCTTTGAATTTTGTAAATATGTTGTATAAGATGGAATTTAAGTATAAAATCGAGTAAAGCAAGAAATAGATGACATGATAGTTGAGTTAAAATTTTGAACCGTTCAAATGTAAGTTCATCATATGGATAAAAGTCTAAAAGATTAGTTTAAGCTTTCTTTTAAAAACTCTTATGATGTGTCAATCCTACTCTTATTTAGCTGAATTTTCTTCGGTCTGATAGAGAGGTGATTTGTGGTGACTTTAACTTTAAGATATTAAGGTACTTTGAAGATAATGTTGTACAGAATTTGACTCTAAAATAATGGATATTGATTAAAAAAAAAGAATCCCTATTTTGTTTTTTTTTTAAAAAAAATTCAATTGTAGGATCTAGACTTAGTTAAACTGTGTGAAATTTTAGTAGAGTAGTAACAGTTAAAAGTGTTAAATTTTTTTTGGATGCTTTAACAAAAAAAGTTTGATTGGATAAATTAAATTTTAAATATTTTAAGATAAAGTAAAAGTTTTAAAGTGTCACATAGAAAATAGTAAATATAATTCAACAGAAATGGTTTAGATATGAGATTATAATGAAACCGAGAATATGTACTTTAATTAGAAATCAGAGTATCAGCAAGAGAATGATGACGATAGTTGAGTTGAGATTTTGAACAGTTCTAATATATATTCACCATATGGAAAAAACTCTAAACTATTAATATGATCTTGATTTAATATTTTTTTGCTAATGTATCACCCTTATAATTATTCTAAGCTGTAAGTTCCTATATTTGATAGAGTGGCGATTAGTACGAATTTTAATCTCATGCCGTTAAGTTACTATTCAGAAAATGTTGTAGTGACTTTAAATTATAAATAAAAGTGAGTTAGTTTGATAACAATATTGAAAAGAAGTTAAGAATCAAACATTAGTAAAATAGTATTTATGAATAAAAAGAGAAAAAACTGACAAAAAAATGCCTTAATAATATATACTATTTTAAAATATTTATATATACATAAAAAATTAAAAATAACAATAAATATGTGTACAACACGCGTCTATAATCTAGAGAGAGCGGGAGAGAGAGGGAACGATGGAAGGAATGAGAAAGGGAAGGAGGAAGGAAGGAGAGAAAAAAAGGAGAGGGAGAGAAGGACAGATGGACAGAGGAAGAGAGGGATGGAGAGGGATGGATAGGCGAAATTACAAACTCGAGTATAAGTAAGAGACATATGACAATAGTTGAATTGTTTGAATGGTTCTAATATATAACCATCATACGGGTAAAATTCTAAGTGATTAGATTGATCTTGATTTATAAATTTTTGTTGATGTTTTATTCTTACAATTATTCTCAATTTAAAGATCCTCATAAAAAGGTGATTGATAGGGATTTTAACTTTATGTTGCTAATGTATTTCTATACAAATATTGCCGAGAATTTGATTTTAAAATAATAAATAACAATTTTTGTTAATGATAAAAAATTATTTTGCTGGCTTTTAAAAAATAAATCATCTCATGAATGAAAATGTGAACAAGTTATTTTTTTATGAATTTTTACAAGAATCTTAAGGATTTTAAACCATAATGAAATAATTTTAAATATTTTAAAAGAAAGTAGCAATTTTCAAAGTTTCATAGATATAATAACATATAAATCTTCAAAATCTCACACCAAATAAGTAGTAACAATAAAAATAGTAAAAAGAAACGTTTGAATATACAGTTCAGATTCAGGAAAACACATAAACCATCAAGAATCTTCACAACATATATATATATATATATATATATATATATATATATATATATGTATAAAAAAATAAAAATAACAATAAATTCAAAAAAATTCAAACCTTTATTTTACATATATAAAATCTATATTTGACATTTAATTTTTTAACTAAAAAAAACATTCGCTAAAAATAAAAATTTCTGTCAAATACTACAAAATACTCAAATATATCAACTACTAATTATTACACAAGTCATTATACTACTTAGTGATATCGATTTAAATGATAACAATAATCCGTGCACGGGTACTATCCTAGTGTTATATTAAATGTGCAACCATGTAAAAGGCTTATGAAATGAAATATTAGGCCGACCAAAAAAAAAAAGACATTGGTTCGGTTTGGCTTGCTTTGTGTTTGTGTTTGGTTTGGTTCGGTTTTCTCCCACCCTAGTGACTCTCCGGCGAGGTTAACGACGCTTTTCACAGCTAAATGTCTTGCTTGGAGGATGAAGATTAGGCTCACGCTTCAGCAAGTAGAGAAGTAGATCCTCTTCATCGCGCAACTGCAAAAACCACTTATCTCTTTCATTAATCAGTAAGACCCAGCTTCCACCAATTCTCAGATTAAAAACCCTTTTTTTTTCCAATTCTCAGCATCGATCAACAGAACCAGAATTCGATCAAGATTTGATGAAGGCGTGAAATGGGTTGTTTCTGGGTTTGACTCCAATTGGAAAAAAAAATCAGTCATGAACCAAGAAACGAATCGATACGCAAAATGGAAACAGAGAGAGCTCGTTCTTATACTCTTATACGCCGTCGCTTTCTACGCCTATGCTCTACGGATATCGCTTCGTCTCTCTCACGGTAAACTCCAATTTCACACAATGGTTTTGCGTTTTGAAAAAATCTCTCATTCATGTAGTGATTTGTTTTTTTTTTTTTTGGAATTTTAGATCATTACTTCAAGCTCCACGGTTTAGCACCTGGCTGGCTCATTCCTAATCGTCGCAATGTAATGCTCTGATTCCTTAATTTTTTCGTTATAAGAATGGGTTTTTATCACTTTGAAAGCTTATTTCTTTTTGATTGTAGGATGTTTCCGATGCTCAGTGGAGGAATTTCCGCGGGAATTTGCCAATTCTCACCTTGGTTTTCGCGGTTTTCGCCGTGATTGCGAACGTGTTTAGGTCTTTTTTCCAGTTAAGAGCTAAAGGAATGGCGATCTTGTGGCTTTCCTTGTCACTTTTATACTTGACTTACTTACATGGAGCTTGGTAATGCTGATTCCATTTACTTACATTTTTTCTTAATTTTCTTCTGTATATTAAGCTGACTTGTTTCTGTATTCACTTCTAGCGTCATTTACATTTTATCGATTGCAACGGCTAATTTCCTTCTTGCTAAGGTCTGTTCTCTCTTGAAATTTTTAAGCTTGGCATGTCAATAGTTTAGATCGTAAGAGTTATATCAAGCTGTCAATCTCAGCTTATTGTGGCGTGTACTCATTATTCCTAAGCGTATATAGTTTCACTAGATTTACATTAGTGCAGGTTTTTGCACGAGCAAAGTACTTTCCTTTCATGCTTTGGACTTTCAACATATTTTTTCTCTTGTGCAATCGCATTTACGAAGGATATTCATTCTCCATTTTCGGGTGAGTACATGTACAATCGCGTTGGTTTCTTATTTTATTTGGCGTATATATGAAGTTTGTATCATGGTCAAGCCTAACGCTTTGGTTTTTATTCTCTTTATCCAAGGCAACAGTTTGAATTCCTGGAAAACTTTCGGGGCACATTCAGATGGCATATATGCTTCAACTTTGGTATTTGTTTTATCCTGTTTCCCTTGACTGCAATTTTCTCTTTATCATGTATAACACAATCTGACTGCAGTTTGCTGCTCGCTGTATAATTTTCTGCAGTTGTTCTGCGCATGATAAGTTTTGGATATGATTATCACTGGGGCCAACTGAATTCTCATTTTGATCAGGAGGTGTGTTTTCTTTCTCATATTGCAGCTTTTCTACGCGATTTTTTACAGATATATATAGATTTTTCTTCCTAAAGATCCTTATCCGTTCTCTCTGAAAATTCTTTTACCATAGTCTCTCATTAGTTTTAAAATAGGTGTTCATGGTAATTAGTGTTGGCTTCGAGAAATTAAATATCATGCACAAAATCGTGTTCATCATGTAGACAAGAGATGCTGATATTCTTATTTGCTAATTAAGGTTTCTAAATGACTTATGATTCTTCCCTGATCAACAATTAAAAGCTTATGGTGTAAGTTACACCGTGTAACCATCTCTTATCTGCTGTTTTGTTACTGCAGAAACACTTAACACGCTGTTCCTTATGTAAGTTAAGGAAGACTTGCTACGTACTTCGACAGGTTGACTGCGGGGCACCACCCTTTCACTTCTATTATTAAGTTTTTTGCATTGGCTCGACTCTAACGTGGTATAATTTGTTAGGAGAAAGGTCTAGCAAGCGACAACTGCAGTTTCTCCCTATACCTTTGTTATTTGTTGTATGCGCCATTATACATTGCGGGACCAATCATAAGCTTCAATGCATTTGCTTCTCAGGTATGTAGTTCTTGTTCTGCATTCACTTTTGTTGTCCTTTCATGTCTTTGTTCTTTTGTCATACTTGGTTTTTCTTCATGAGTTCTTACTACAAGTCGGTGTTTTTGCAGCTAGATATGCCACAGAATACTCATTCAGTGAAAGATGTTGCGCGGTATGGATTACGTTGGTTATTCAGCTTCTTGCTGATGGAACTTATGACACAATTCTTCTATTACAATGCATTTGTGATCAGGTGAAATTCTTTCAGAATTAGGGGTTATTAGACACTTTTATTATTATTTTCCTTATCTTCTAGTTTTACAAGCTGCTAAAGTCTTTGCATTTGTGACAGTGGTCTGTGGAGAGAATTATCTCCTGTGGAGATATTTATCGTCGGATACGGAGTAAGATATTAATGATATTTTCCTTGTTATGTTTTTGTTTAGCAATCTAATATCAGCTCAAGAGGCTCTAAAAGTACTAGAATACCCGATACTGATCCATAGTGCTCTTTTGTGTTGCTACAGGTGCTTAACTTCATGTGGCTTAAGTTCCTTCTTTTATGGAGATATTTCCGCTTCTGGTCTCTGGTATGCTCCCTTAAAGTTTAAAGGATCAATTTATTATTCTAAGATGATAAGATTTTTTGGTGGAACGAAAGTTCTGTAGTCCTATGGTAATAAAACTTTGTCCTCTGAACTAATGATGTTTTGCTCTATGAGTTGTCGCTAGTTTCATGGACATGAGCCAGAATTATTGGAAGTATCAGAGGATAAAACATTAGCAAGAATGTGGTACAAGTTAGGTTTGGTTTTTGGATGGATAGTCGGGTTCTGATATTTAACAATGTAAACCATTGTCTTTTAGGTGAATGGCATTGAAACTGTGGAGAACATGCCGAATTGCATTAATAATTGCTATAGTTTGGAAACATTCTGGAAAACCTGGCATGCCTCTTTTAATAGGTGGCTTATCAGGTGAGAATTGTTAATTCCTGGTTTCAACTTATAGTGTCACTAAATCATTTTCTTTTAGGGTCACTCGTAAAATAATAAGTTAACAACTTCCTTTAGGTATATGTATATTCCTCTTGGTGGATCAAGAAGAAAGCTTCTTAATGTGTGGGTGATATTTACATTTGTAGCCGTGTGGCATGATTTAGAATGGTAATTATCCGTTCCCTTCCTATGATTTCTTTGGGTTGTATGAACTTTTCTATCCATTTCGCATGTGGTTGATTGTTTCGTTTGCAATCAGGAAGCTTCTTTCATGGGCATGGTTAACATGTTTATTCTTCATGCCAGAAATGTTACTTAAATCAGCAACCAGTGCATTTAAGGTCAGTTAAACAAAGATTGTTTTGATTCACTCAAATAAGCGAAGCCTCAAAGGTTTCAAAGTCTCTAGCATGCTAACATTCAAAAATGAATGGGACCCAATGTGTATGACTGGAAATCATATTTTTTCGGCCTGTCAACTCTCTTGAGAGCCTTTTATATATGGAAATTGTAGTAGGAAACATGGTAAGTAACTAATTACTTGTGTAGGTAGAGAGTGCTTTTGGAGAATTCCTCTTTCGTGAACTTAAGGCGTTGTCTGGTGCTGTCACAATCACATGCCTCATGGTAAATAGCTTTTGCTAAATATTCTTGGTTTCATTGAAGTATTTTCCTTCATACAAAAGCTTACGTTGATGCCGAGAAATAAGTTTGAGTTTCTCAATTGCAGATTGCAAATCTTGCTGGCTATGTCATTGGACCATCAGGTCTAAACTGGTTGGTCTCCAGCTTTCTTAGCAGAGAAGGTATGAAACCCAATGGTTTTCAATCCTCGTTTATGTCCTTTGTGTTACGAACCGATTCAATAATGTTCATTTGATATCACAGGATTACCTGTTCTGGGCGGCGTGTTCTTTAGCTTTTACTTGGGTACAAAGGTAACTAGCGCATGCAGTTTTCTGTTATGCTAAATGATTCTTCTCCGTTATCTACAGCTACTAAATGACTCTTACTCTGTTTTTGAGCTGGATTTGTTGTTTAAATAATAAGTTTCCTTTTTTTTATGCAGTTGATGTTTCACATCCAGGACTTGAGAAGTGGGGTACATAGCCCGAGGTAGCCGGGGCAAAGAGTCGTAGTCTCCTTGGTTATAATCAAGTAATATCATTATTGTTATTTACATTTTTTGTGTGGAATTTTGGTTGGAGTAACTGTGTTTTTCCTTGCTGAAAGATGCAAAATTAAATCAGTTTTACGTAGGCTTTTTGATGCATTCCCAGCAGTAGTAATCTCTGGATGACTACAGACCATATGTATATGATACACTAAACCAGTTTGATGTACTTGATGGCTCCATATTCGCCATTTACGGTTTGACCTATGAGTTCGATTGCCTACACTATCCTGGCATTGTCTACATTCCGTAGATTCTTTACAGCTTCCTCATTCTGGCACACTATAAAAGTCTTTATTTGGTTTCTGCCAGAAGCAAGCAGAGTTATCCACAGGGCAGAAACTTCCTTAACTTTGATGACTGGAACAACCGGGAATTTTGGCCGTATCCGGTATAGCCCAGCCATGACCATCTCATAGAAAGGTATTTCATCCATGTCATGCCCTTGAACTCCACATTCATCAATCACAAGTAAACATATCCATGTATCAAGAGTTACCAAATTGGGTGTTCATAGATGCTACTCAGACTATCTCGGGCTATTCTGTCTAACCTGAAGCCTCGTCTTCAGGACACCTACGTGATGACAAGACGAGGAGGGTCTAAGCGTTGAAAACACCAAGTCTCTTTTAGGCATTTCGTAGGCGAATCAGGACATGTGCAAAGATCAGAATCCATGGAAGAAGGTGTTTCGAGAAGTTGAGAAAGAGAGAGTGAAGATGCAAGAAACGAAATGGTTAGAGATTATGAAACAGAGCATCATGAGGGTTGATGCTCGATTTCATTACATGCTTTAATGGGCTTAGGTACAATGGAGAAACTGATTGAGACCACTGAAGAAGACCATTGTCCCTTCCTAATCCAACAAGAACAGGTTGGAACAAGACATTGGAGGATTAAGACACACCTCTGCTTTTTAATCATGTGGCTCTAAAAAGAAATCTCAGTTTAGACGTAATGGATTTGCATCAAGTGGTGATAGTGATGATTTTAAACATAGAATTTGCACAAGTGTCCGAACAACATTATTACCAACAAGGACAACCGAAATGCAGTTTCCTAAGAATCTAAAAACTTAAATTTCTATAGATTATCTTAAATATGGTTTTTAGTTAAAAGGCTACACAATTCTGTGTGTGAAAGGAATAGACTTTTGGTCAGCACAAAAATAATTGCAATCTGTCTGCAACATTCTGCGATCTGATCTCTGGTAACCAAATTATATTTTACGTTGGCAAGATCTTGATCTGGAATCTTTTGTCAAAAGGCATCTAACTTTCCTGTTAAATCTCCCTAGTCTGGTGATTTAATGTTCTCTCTTAATATTTTTTTTAAGAAAAACGTTCTGATAATTAATGCTCTCTTTCTCTCTCTCCCCCTCTAATGTCACTCGAATTCTCATATAACTTCTCCATATAAACACAAGTTTCTGATCAAGTCTGAAACACCTTGTGTCTCCATTTAAAATGAAGAAACTTCTATGGAGTTTGACTCTGTTTGGTCACATCCTCATAATCCTCCCTGTAAATGGGATGATGGAGTTTGAAGAAATGGAGTGGTTCACAGATTTCAATGGAACAAAGATGTTTCAGACTCAAAATGATGTTTATTCTGAAGCTAAGTTTCCAATGGTAGGACTCACTCTCATTCAATCTGCTGCTGCTAAAGGAGCAGGTAACATCTTCTATATATATATGATCTGATCTATCTCCTTGGATAATATATGTTTCTTGTCACACTTTTTCAATATTGATTCATAATTTGTTTTCTTGCAGTGTGTTTGGATGGAAGTCTTCCCGGATATCATATGCATCGCGGGTTTGGTTCAGGAGCAAAGAATTGGCTCGTTCAATTGGAGGTTTGTTGCATCATACAGATAGTCTCTACTCTCTAGTAATAGGTATAACAATCTTAGTTGTAGATGATCGTTTTATGTTTTGATAGGGAGGTGGATGGTGTGATACTATTAGAAATTGTAAATACCGCAAAACCAGTCGCCGTGGATCGTCTATGTATATGGAGAAAGAGATACCTTTTACAGGAATTCTAAGTGATAGAGCCGCTGAAAATCCAGGTTACTGTCTAGCAAATCACTCTGTAAGGTGTTTATCTCCTTTTGTTGTTGCTAATACAAATGTTATGCAGACTTTTATAACTGGAATCGAGTAAAAGTCCGGTACTGTGATGGAGGATCCTTTAGCGGGGACAGTGAAAATAAGGTTAGTTTAGCTGAAAACATAAACTAACGTTTGGTACATGCTTGTGTAATATTGATTATTACATATGATTTTGCTACAACTTAGGCTGCAAAACTTCAGTTCAGAGGAAAACGAATATGGTTAGCTGCTATGCAAGAGTTGATGTCAAAAGGAATGCGTCAAGCCAAACAGGTAACATTTTCTTTTTCTTTTATGTTTTCACGTATTGGTCTGTTGCAGTATTTTAAATTTAAGTCACGTTAGGCTCTGCTCTCTGGATGTTCTGCTGGAGGACTTGCTGCGATTTTACGGTGTGATGATTTCGGGAATATGTTTCTTCCTTCCACTAGAGTGAAATGTTTGAGTGATGCTGGCTTTTTCCTTGACGCGTGAGTGATTTGATAGTTTCCTTGAGTAGTAAATAAGTCATGACTTTGGTATATATAACTAGTGACTGGTTTTGTAATTTTTGTAACTGAAGCATCGATGTGTCTGGAGGTCGATCTCTTAGGCGTTTATACGCTGGTGTCGTAAAATTACAGGTAAGAAAGAATCAAAGAACACAGAAATTTGCAATGTGTTACATTTTGTCTCGAGAATACTAACGAAAATTGTGTTATGTTTCTACAGAATCTTGAAACAAAGCTCCCTAGAGACTGTATAAACCGTCTTAATCCAACTTCGGTATTTTGTTTTTCTTTTACTTCTTGTAGCTATCTTTATAATGAGACAAAACCAAATAACAAAATGACAAAACCAATTAACAAAATGTACTCCATGCTTCAATAATTGCAGTGCTTTTTCCCACAAAACCTAATCAACCAAATCAAGACTCCATTGTTTATTCTAAATGCTGCATATGATTCGTGGCAGGTTAGTTTGTTTTCTTCTATATAAAGAACTACAAAAGGGAAAATGTGTATTTAATATATTTTCTTTTTGCAGATCCAAGAGAGTTTAGCTCCTAAATCTGCAGATCCAAGTGGAAGTTGGCATGATTGCAGACTTAATTACGCCAAGTGCAACGCATCTCAGATTCAGTTCTTGCAAAGTAATAACATGAGCTAATAGTGTTTCTTGATTTTGAATAACAAACTCAGCTAATGTTTTTTTTTCTTCTTGTTTTGCTTTTGGAATTTTTTTTTACAGGTTTTAGGACTCGTATGGTGAATTTGATCAAAGGTTTCGCAAAGCCGAGTAAGAATGGAGTTTTTCTTAATTCGTGCTTTGCTCATTGCCAAACAGAGAGGTATGACACATGGTACTCCAAAAACTCTCCTGCGGTTAAGAACAAGGTGAGCAATAATATTGGTCTTTTACTTATTGATCATGATTCATAAAATCACAATACCAACCACCAAAAACCGCCTTTTTTGCCTTGGTCTTTTGATTCATAAAATTGTTGAAAAGCTACAAACATTTTGGAAAAAACCCAAAATACCACTTTTTGCTACCATTGTTGATTGTTATATGTGATTTAATACCGAATATTATTGTTGTTTTACAAAACAGGGGATTGCAGTAGCTGTGGGAGATTGGTATTTCGAAAGAGGAGGAGCAAAGCTCATAGACTGTGCTTATCCTTGTGACAAGACTTGCCACAATTTAGTCTTCAGATGATAACTCTTTTTTTCCTTACATATATTTGGGCATTCAAATGCCTTTTTCTTCTTTTCTTGTTCTTAAAGAGCACCCATTTTTCAGAAAAAACAATGAAAGAAAATAAATTCATTTGATATATTCTCTTTGCATTGCTGTGACTCTACCTAGAAACCTCATATCCATTACTATATTTATTTTGAACTATCCAATTAAGTCGTAAAATCATAGGTTTTATGTTAACTACCCATATATTTAAATCAAGTTTCGACCGGTGAATAACGGTTCCATGGAACTGTCCCTACTGGTTCTGTCAAACTTACACCGAAAAATAAAGAAAAACTCATAGACAGACATTCGAGTTGCATGGAATGTAGGGTAAGCTAAAGTCATCAAAAACATCTCTAGTGAGATAAAAAGAGTATAACTCTGACATAAAAGCTGACCAATCTACCAAGTTCTTGATAATTTCCACCAATTCAAAACAATCTGTCTCGAAACAAATCCAATATATCTGCTTTTATTGTAGGCACGACATCGCCGAGAAGCTTTTTTGACATTCTTGTAAGCCAAATATCTCCTGTCCCATATGATCCCTATCCTAGGCCGCCAACAGGTTCATGATCAATCCAGCATCGATTTGCCATGTCGGGATTGGAATGTCCAAAAGAGGAGCTCTCGTAGACTCATAGTCATGAAATTGCTTTGTATACTATCTTTTGTATATTTATGTAGAGGTTGAAATTTTGGGTGAATTTGTTATTATATACTACTTCTTCTGAGCAAGAGGAAGTACGTTGTTTTGTTTATAAATTTTAAATACTCTTTGGAAAACAAATATTCTTTTATATTTACTCAAGATATTTTGAGCCTAGACATATAATATTTTCGGATCAGTGAATGATGATACTAAAGTTTGTTATTCTTTTCGGATTAGTAAAGTAAAAATTCAGTATTTATCTTCTCTCTTGTCGTGCTCATCGAACTCAAAACTTGTAAAACTCTTTTTTTTTTTTGATGGCCAGTTAGTTTATTGATGTCAATTCTGCTTTGTAAATTAGATGTAACCTTTTATTCAGTTTGCATGACAATGACCATAGTAGGGATTATTAGTGTTTTTCAACGTACATCAAGGACGACTTCAACGTCCGACTATTTCGAGGAATAATCTCGCATACTCCTTCCGCATTATAGAAATTCTCAAATCTCCTTTTCATAATATTTAATTTGTTTTCAATTTATTTTAAAGCAAGAAAAAGGGAGAAAAACGGTCAAATACTTGCAGGTCCTTACTAAAGTTTCATATTTACTAACCCAACCACGAAGATCCATACCTAGTTTGTCATATCGGGTTGAATCCAAAGAAATCGGATTTTCGAGACGGTTTTTGGTCAAAATTGTGGTAAGTCTTCTAAGTCAAACCCTAAATTTTTTTTTTTTAAAAATTCAAATTTCGAAATCGTCTTCTCATCGTCGTCTTCGCCTAGTATTCTCTGGGACAACTACGAGTGATTTGCTGCTCCCTGTCTTGAATCAACGCCTCGTTAAATCAGGTTCGTTCGTCTTCGTCCTCTGATTTCTAATCTAGATTACTTTATAGATTTCAACTCAGTTTTGTGTAGAATCCAAAATTCGATTTATATGTTCTCTATTCGGTTGGTAATTACAAAATAGGAGTTATGAATTTAGGCAACGAAAGAGTGTTTAGATATGCTAGACCAGAACTGTACTCAGATTCCGAATCGTCGCAGGAGAAAAATGTAGAAGGAGTTGCCGAGTCATAGACGGGTAATAATCAGATAGTGTTGTGGAGGGGAACTGAGGCTGAGGCTGAGGAGGAGGAGAACCAGCCATTGCCACCCGTGAGAATGTTCTTCGAGCCCAGTCAGTATCATAATGCAATAAAGCTTGGAACAAGATGTTATATCCACAAAGCTGTTGCGAAATTGGAGTCCCTAGACCTTGAACCCTATGAGCTGTTATGGTTTACAGAACACCCACAGTTCAAGCACTTTTGGCATATGCATAGGACCATGCATGAGGACACAACACACAAGATGATGGGAATGTGGTTGCTTCTTCTTCGGACAGCAAACACAAATAAGAAGAGGGAAGCTTGGTTTGGTTTGTAGTGAATGGCGTACCAATTCACTATTCCCTTAGAAAGCATGCCATTTTGTGTGGATTAAACTGTCTCCCGTACCCAGAGGACTATGAGAGCATAAGAAGTTCTTCGTTTAAGAATAGATATTTCCAGGAAACCGTACCCTCCCTTGCTGCTGTTGAGAAAAAGCTAGAGTCGATGCGAGGGCTAGTTAATCCTGATCGGTTTAAGATGTGTGTCGTCTACTTCTTATCCTCTATAACTAGTGGGAAAACGAAAACCGGTAAGGGAACACCATCTGTTGACCCCTTATTCCTGAGGATTGTGGATGATCTCGAGGCTTGTAAAAAGTTTTCTTGGGGTAGGTATTCATTCGATGTAAATATGAAGGAGATTGAGGACACAATGAGGCATTTCAATGGGGTCGTCGAAACAGATGCCTGGACATTTCCAAGCTTTGTTACTCCCTTGGAGGAATGTCACATTAAAAATTTTTTGTAACTTTGTAATACTATGAGCGTAAGTGTAATTTGTTGGGTTTATGTGTAGTTGCTAGCCTTTGAGACCATCCCATGTCTGAAGAACAAATACAGAGAAGATGTTAGAGGAGCAGAGAGGGGTGTCCCCGGATGTGTAGGCAGAAGTTCCAACCATTCACCCTAAAAGGTTTTCCTTTGTCGGAACTCTATGAAACACTGGGTAACACTAGGGTCATCGAGAGTATATTGCAACCATCCGAGGATGAGGTAATTATGCTTGCTGAAGTCATGGAAAGGAATGAAGAGGAAGATATCGGTGATATCATTCCTGAAAATTGGACGAGGCATTTAGTTGAGGAAAAGAAGCTGATATTCTGGAAAGAGATATGCAAGATCGATGTTGATGCCCGAGATAATAAAGAGTGGGTAAACCATCCTGCAGAGGCTAAGAATAATGTGGGGACGGAGAAGGCGGCGCCTCTTGGATTGGAGGAACAGCTTCAGAGCTTGCAGAAGAGTATGAACGCTCAGTTTCTCCGAATCAGTGCCCGAATGGACGGCTTTGATACAAGACTCTGCTCTGTAGAACAATATGTAAAATAGACAAGAAGAGAAAGGGAAGGACCAGGAGATAAGGGAGGAGAAGTTTTTCGAAATGATGTAGAACATGAACATGATCAAGGTGGAGAGAAACTTGAAAGTCTGGTGAAAACTGAGAAAGCAAGGAAGCAGAAACAGCCGAAGAAGAAACAACCGAAGCAGAAGCCAAAGAAGAAGCAGGAGCCGGAGCAGAAGGAGCCAGAGCAGAAGGAAGCAGAGCAGAAGGAGGCGGAGCAGAAGGAGGCGGAGCAGAAGGTGGCGGAGCAGAAAGAGCCGGAGATGAATGAGGCGGAGCTGAAAGAGGCGAAGCAGCTTGTAGCTCGATCTCCGTACCTGCTTAGAAGTAAAGAGGTATTGGAGTTTGAAGAGTAATATCCATTGTTTTGGTAATACTTAATATTTCGTGGTAACACTAGGTTGTATTACTTGGTATGTGTAGGTAGAACCAGACGGTGCTGACGTTGTGAACGCAGAAGTGGGTGCAGGTAAACGGAAACAAGAGCAATCGAAGCTAGGGCCAAACACAAGGCAGAGACGTTAAGTCTCCTATGACATTTGATATATGCATTTGTATTTGGATTAAACTGTATTAGGGTGTGTACTTCTATTTTTATTATTGATTTTGGATTATTGAAAACCAAATATTGGAAAAACTTGGTATTATTGGTGAAACCACATATAAATGGTATAACCTAGTATTATTAGGTGTAACCATCTTAGTATTATTTGGTGTAACCACTTATATATGTGGAATACTAAGTCTAAACAGTTCGAGTTAAAATTATTAGAATAATGTTTGTACACAACATCAGGGAGTACTAAACATTACGAATTGTGCACATACGGAATCCAGAACATAGGGAAGTACAAAAAAAAAAAACATTAAACAGAAAAAATCAGACACATTCACCAATGGACCGTATCAAGAAAAACCCTAACTACCCGGTACACATATAGGCTGAACCTTCCGCATTCGCGAGTTAAGAAGCAGTAGTCGCAGATGTTCCCTGGTTTATACTCATCATTCCCCCAACGCTCCCATCGGTTAACTGTACCGTACGGACAGTGGATAAGAGTATTGAGGCGCGGTAAAAAGCGACGGTGACTTTCATCGAATATCTCTGGCAATCTCATTGGCCAACCAAGATATACTTCTTCAACGAGGTAGCGGTGCACTTCATTATTGTTTCCTGGTTTGATGAGGTACTCATCACCCTCAGGATATTTCATAATAAGTTTCATGAACATCCCGTAGACATATACTGCACGCGTGTACCCTCTATCCGCTGCTTCCTAGATCAGTAGAATCCCTCCAAAATCGTGTCGACGAAAAAAAGAGTTGCATACCTCGCATGAAAAGCATGTCTGGATTTCGTGCATCATAGAACTCTCTGAAGACATCGATGATGAGATGGACATCTTGATCCTCTGGATGACCCATATTAAAGGGATCAACTTCAGCGTAGAAGCCAGGGCCTCTGGTGCAGTCGTTGAAGCTATGACAAATCGAGCGAATCCGTATAAGGTCACCAATTGTGTTAGCCGATTTTGCTAGAACCTTTTTCAGTAGTTCGTCTGGTAGGGTTAGTAGGTAGGAGTACTCTGCCATGGATTTATATATAAAAGTGGTCGAGGCCGAGTTTTCTGAAAGTTCTGAAACCTTAAGAGAAAATGATGGATTTTGTAATATAAAAGGAAAATCTGAGAGGAACCCTAAGAGAGAGGAGGAAGGAAAAAGTGATGGATTTGGGAAAGTAGTGAAGGTGTAGAATGAATTTCAGAACTTCTTTGCGAACTTAAATAATAGAAAATGGAGGAAGTGAGAGGGAGGAAGTGAGTACTCATGTCGAATAAACGCGACCGTATGAGAGAGAGAGAGGAATAACTGCTACTCTCATTAATGCGTTATTGAGTAAATATAGTAAAAACTCTATCCTCTAAATTAATAACATTGGGACTCTTATATTTTATTAATTTAGAGAGTTACTAATTTATAAAGAAATTAATTGAACCAAAACATAAATTTGGGATCAAAGAAATTTATTAATTAATCGAGTTTATTAATTTATCGAATATTAATTTATAGAGTTTCTAATGTATGATTTTTACTCATATACTGCGATATTCAAACATTATGTCTGGATTACTAAAACGTTGGCATGCTATATATCATCAAGTTATCGTCAATTTTTCTGATTAAAATTTTCAACCAACCATAAATAATTTCTCCAAATATAATTTATCAAATGTCATAAAATTATATATCAAGGTTCTTAGGAAAAAAAAGAGATTACATATATGATATGTTCATTAAAAAAAAAGAGGCTTCATGTGAATTTCGATGACATTCCAGAGCTCTTCCTCTTTATCTTCTTCATCTCTCCCTTCGAACAGAAATGTAGAAAATCTCATTTATGTTTAAAAATCATATAGCCTAAATTTTTATTCAATATTATTACTTAATCATGAGTTATGTCTACAATTAAAATTTAGAAAACCAAACAACATCAACTGATTATAATCCAGTCATATAGATTTCAACTTATTTTAGATTTGTTATAACCAAAAAAATGACTAATTACTTACTCATTCGGATGTATCCATGTTTCAAATTTCTCTCTCCACGAATCCGCAATGCATGCACTTCAATCCTATCTCCAGATCCAGAATAAATTTGTGTTCCGGTTTTGTAAAACGTGTGTGGGGAGTTTTATCGACTGAGATGCCTTTGTCCTTCTCCTCAAGGAAAAATATATATATAAATTTTCACTCATGATCAGGACATATATTATAAACCATTAAACAGAGAGAATATATTACCTTTGGAAGATTTTGCTTTACTTGATCATTTGATTTGCTGAGGAGATGAAATAGTTCCCACAGCTCTGCTTGCTCGATCTCAGAATCGGTTGGCGAAGGTGGCGACTTAGGTTCCACCACACCAAATCTCATTATCAAAGGTGGTGGGTTGATGATTAGCAGACCATTCTCATCATGTTTTTTTCCATCTGATTTCTCCATTTTGTTTATGTATTGTTAGAAACGATGAGACTACTTGAAAAATTCTAGAAGTACAATATCTCAAGTGTCTATTTATAGAGTGGGCAATAGTATTCATTTTTTACGAATTTTAAGTTTTTTGGGGAAGACTACTAATATTTTTAGTGTATATACAATGTTCCATGGATATTTGTCTACTCAGCATTTACTCACGTGAGAGGATTTATTTATTGTATAGACGCGTCGCATGGACGGAAAACGAGGAAAGAGGGAACGACACGTTTATTTATCTCTGTAAAAGTGAATAAATAAATATATAATAATAACTGTCTAAAACATAATCACACCGCGTGTAATCGTTGTACCAGTCTTACGGCTGTTAATGCTTTCATTAACTGCCGTAAGACTGGTACAACTACCAACACTGTATTTGATTTTTACCAATACATTAAGTAAATAAATATTTTTGGGTTTATTAGGGGAGAGAAAGATGTCTTTTAACTTCTTCGCACGATAAGGCTGAATGGTTGAAGGGTATTTATTATATGAGTCGCACCTTAGGGTTTTCCTTTCTCTTTCCATAAATATAACTCGCTCTCTCTCTCTCTCTCAATCATATCTATCTTCTAAATCCTCTTCTCTCTATTTAGTGCTATCGTTGCTCTCTTTATCACTTCAAAATGGCCCCTAAGGCGTGGATCATGACTCATCTGAAGGAGGTGGTGCGGTTTCCGGCGAGTGGGTTCAGTGCAGGGCCGGTGGCGGAAGACATTTACGAATGGCAAGCAACGCTGTTAGGCCCTCCTAGTAGTCCATACGAAAAGGGCATCTTCTTCATCTCCATCCGTTTCCCATTGGATTACCCCTTCAAGCCACCAATGGTGTCGTGGAAGACGCCGATTCTGCACCCCAACATCGACAAACCCCGCGTCTTCCATCCGCTACTCGTCACCGCTACCTTGAAGGTTGGAACGACGGTGAAGGAAATCCTCCAAGCGCTCCATGACATGCTGCTTCACCCTAAGGTGGAGGAAGAGGACAACTACCTTGCAGACGTCGCACGCATGTGCGTCTTGGAACCGGAGCGGTTCAAGAAGGAGACCCGCCTGATGACTGAGGTACACGCCATGAATTAATTTATGGTGTTTTCACAATAAAATAATAAATTTTATGTATTATTATTTTCCGTTGTAAAATATTTTATTCTTTATAAATTATGCCTGTAATATATTTATTTACAAAAAATATTAATAAAATTCCTTGTGTTATTCTATCCACTATATTATCTCAGTCGATTCATAAGGAATCCATAAAAAGGAAACCCTAATACTCGGTATCATTTGGTGTAACCACATGGATTTCCGAAATTTGAAATATGTAATACTCGGTATCATTTGGTGTAACCACATGTTTTCCCGAAAATCAAAATATGTAATACTCGGTACCATTTGGTGTAACCACATGTACTTCCGAAAATCAAAATATGTAATACTCGATATCATTTGGTGTAACTACATATTTTCCGAAAATCGAAATATGTAATACTCGGTATCATTTGGTGTAACCACATGTTTTCCCGAAAATCGAAATATGTAATACTCGATATCATTTGGTGTAACCACATGTTTTCCCGAAAATCGAAAATATGTAATACTCAATATCATTTGGTGTAACCACATGTTTTCCCGAAAATCGAAAATATGTAATACTCGGTATCATTTGGTGTAACCACACATTTTTCGGAAAATAGAAAAATATGTAATACTCGGTATCAGATGGTGTAACCACATGTTTATCAGAAAATCGAAAATATGTAATACTCGTATCATTTGGTGTAACCACATGTTTTCCCAAAAATCGAAAATATGTAATACTCAGTATCATTTGGTGAAACCACATGTTTTTTTGGAAAATCGAATAAGTCTTGAGTAGAACCATGAATCGTAACTACTTGAACAGGTAGATAGGTGAAGAAACCGAGGCCACAGCAAGAACAGATAGAACAAACATGTCCTTAACTTCCTTAAATATCTTAGTTCGTCGCGTTTGTTCCAATTCCCTATCCATTTCCTTCAAAACCCAGTCACAAACCACCTCAGAAAGGAGAGCATAAGACCTCCTTGCCTCAACCATTTCCTCCTTCAGGTTGTTTACTGATTCCTGTAGCTGAAAAATCTCCGTCGAGTGAATCCGGTTCATGGTTCTAGTCCAACCACTCCGGCCTTGCATCTCGGTCAAATCATGTCGAACATCTGCAATCTCTTCTAGCATCGCCTCATCACACCACTTGAAGAGATGACATCCGAGATTCTACAAGAGACAAACCGTATAATATTTTTGGGTTTAATCATAGCCATCCCTGCCTTGATATTACGGTCATAGAAAATAATTGAAAGACCTCTTTCAAATAAAGCCGTTGGATTACCTGCTGCCAAACATCTGTCCTTAAACATTCTCATCCATGCCATATCAAAGACCCAAGGTGTGGGCATGCTTAACAGATCCACGCTCCGTAGGAAGATTGGATCCTTGGAGATTTCG